GTTTTCTTCTTGGAACCACATGAGTGGAAGTTTTCTATCTGAAATGTTAGAAGCTTTTTACAAAAATTTCTCCAATGTGTGGTTACAACCATTTTCTTTTCCCTTCGTTATTCTAGTTCCCTGGAGCCTTTCACCTTGTAGCCAGGGACCACGGTAGCTATATGATAAGTGGGAACTTAATCAATTATTTACTTTCTAATGTTAATGTTTTGAATTCAAAGGAAAGTATTATGTGTTTGGACACTTTCTTTCCAGAAATGTTTAGAAGATGAGTATTGAAAATAAGTTTTAGTTCAATATTTTTTATGTTACTTAATCTTATCTTTTGTTTCTAAATTTTTTCTTAGGCTTCTAGGTCTTTCAGATACAAATATAGTCTGAGTTTTTTCTACGTGGCTATATTAGTTTTCTAGGGTTGGATAACAAATGACCACCAATTTAATGACTTAAACCAATACCCTTTTTTAGTACACAGTTCTGTAGGTCAAAATTCGGGGTGGGGCTTGGCTGGACTCTCTGCTTGGATTCTTACAAGGCCAAAATCAAGGTGTCGGCCTGGCCGTGCTCTTTTCTGAATGCTCTGGGGACAGTTCACTTCCAGGCTCATTCAGATTGCAGCAAAATACAGTTCCTTGCAGCCGTAGGACTGAGGACCCCTTTTCTTTGCTGGCCATCAGCCAAAGACCTCTTTCAGCTCCTTCAGGCCCCCCACATTCCTTCTCACACGACTCCCTCCATCTTTAAACCACAAGTTGAGTCCTTACAATTCAAATCTTTTTCACTTCCCTTTCTGCTACCAGCAGGAGAAAACTCTGCCTTTAAAGGGCTCCAGTGATTAGATTTGGCCCACCTAGTGAACCTCCCTTTTGCCATGTAATGTAACATCAATATGGGAGTAGCACCAGGGATTAAAGATCATGTGGGCCATCTTAAAATTCTACCTACCAGAGGTGCTAAGAAAATACTTGGCAAACCTTGCACAAATAGAGTATGTATGCACAGTTATGTAATTTAACATATATAATTAAATTTGTTTTTTCCTTTTAGGACAGTTCTCTTTTTGAAACTTACCATGTTGAACTCATTAAAAAAGATGGACAGAGTCTTGGGATTAGAATTGTTGGCTATGTTGGAACATCTCATACAGGTAAATGAATTATTTCTATTTTATATTTGGAAATAATTGTAAAGAATGTTAAGGTTTCTAGACAGTAAAATTAAATAACTGCAAATTTTAATTTAAATCTTGAACAATAAAACCATGAATTTATAATAGCAACCAGTTATTTCTGAGTGATTACAGAATCACCTTTTTATCTCAATAGTTTTATAGCTGGCTTGATAGTCATTAATAAAAGGATATAATTTTCCAATTCAGTGTATAATTTTTGAATCATACCTCCTCTTGTTTCTAAAATAGATATATTTTCAATACTGTTAACATGAGTATGTTTGTGATAAATTGATTACTGTATGTATTTCATATTGTGAGCATCTAAAAAGTGTTACTGTTATGTTCAATCACTAAAAATAAGTTAAAACAAGTATTTTCATTAGAATTATTTTTCTTTCATATAAAAGGAATACACCATAAGAATAAATACATGGCTTAAGTATCTTTGAATAAAACTCCCTCAATTCCTACCTGCAAAGCTCTGGTAACATTTACTATAAGTTATTCTTTTATTATAGGAGAATTATTAGGGTAAGGTAAAATAAACCTTTCTATAAATATTGGCTAATAACATGAAAATTCAGAGTTATGAAATGTTCTAGTTTTAATTTTTAAAAGTGAGATTAGAGAGTTAATTTCTTTGAAAAAAAATTGTTATTTTGCATATTTACAGCAGGTGGAAAGATTAAGAGTGCTAATGTATTCAAAGTCCTGAATGACATTCACGTC